GTCAAAGGCTTCGGAACATCAGCCGCAGCCTGGCGCGTCCGAAGTGCATGCGTCGTCTCTGTTCGTGGAGGCCTCATGGATGGCTTCTCGCGGACGTCCTGGGGGCCTGTTGGGGCCTCTTGGGGGCCTCCTGGGGCTGTGTTCGAGCCTTCTGGGGGGTGTCCTGGAGCCGAGGGGCCGAAATGTCGGGTCGGATCCTGTCGTGGAGCCTTTCTTGGAGCCGTCTTGGGCCGTCTTGGGGCCGTGCGGGGCGTCTTGGAGGCCTCTTGGGCCGTCTTGTGACGAACTGGGGCATCCTAGAGCGATCAGTGAGCGTCTTGGAATGCTTCTGGGGCCAGTCGGACCAGCTCGGCGGTAATTTCCGGCATTCTCGGGGTTGCCTTGAAGGAGAATATATATACATGTATATATATATATATATATACAAGACTTGAAGCTCGCAGCGCTTCGCTTGGAGGTCTTGGCACGATGCGCTGGCGCGCAGCGTGCGAGCGAAGTGCGACTATGCGGGCTGAAGCGTCGGCGATGGGCAGGGACGGGGATGGGGAGGTCATGGGCGCATGGGCGTCGGGCCATGGAGCGCGCGCACGCGCGCCGCGCGCGCGAGCCGTGAAGCCAGCGTAGCGAAGAGCTTTCGTGGTGGCGTCGTGCACCCCGTCCCCGCGATCGTCGGTCAGAGGCCAATGCGATGCGAAGATGTCGCAGCGAGGTTTGTTGGGGTACCGGAAGTACGCTGCGAAGTTGGTGACGTACTTGCCGTCGTTGCAGCATAACGTTTTAGACTCTGAGCTGAACCCCGTCGCGCCGCAGTGCTCGCATTGGATGGCCATATCTCCCAAAGAAGTGGATGTGAGCGTTGATGGTGGACCACCGCTGTGGGGGGCGGGGACACAGTTCAGGCAAACTGGTTTTGGCCGATGTCGAGCGTCTCATGGGAACATGTCCGCGGGCCAGCAGACGCCGCAGCTGGAGCACGCGAGGTCCGTAAACCTTCTGGATGTCCCGCTCCTCTGGTGTGCAGCGCCTGCGCAACTGAGGCACGTTCGGTCACTTCGTCTCCACTGGCGGAGCGCGTAGTCGGATGCTGGAAGCTGGACGCCGCAGTTGGCGCAAGGTTTGAGAGGCGCAGCGGCGTTGTCTGTGGAACAGCATTCCTTGCATCTGGCTGTCTCAGATGACGCGTGCTGTTGCGTCGAGGAGAAAGCAGAAAGTGGCAGGAGGTTGTGGCATTGGGCGCAAGCCAAACCTGTGCGTTTCGGTGGCATGGCATGGGCTGTCGCGATGCAGCTTGAGCCTGCGGCAACGGATAATGGCAACTGAGATGATGACGGAGTGGAGAAGGTGTACATAGGACTACGACGATGATGACGTGGTCGTGGCGACGACGGAAGTGGGATGCACAGGGGACGGGAAAGCCTGACGCATGTGTGGGGCCCAGGGGTTGGGAAGGTGATGGGGGGGCGAGTTGTGGAGAAGGGAGGCTCGCAGGGGTGTGTGTGTGTGTGTGTGTGTGTTATGTTAGTGATGATGATTCCGTTCATGACAGGTGTGGTAAATGCGGGGCATTCGGGACAACCTCAGGATTCGAGGGCCCTATTGAGGAAGACGGAGGGGTCGGAATCCTTTTTGGCGCGTGGGACACGGGGGGTTGGGAAGGTCAGGGGCAGCGCCTGTGGACAGGGTGCTCACCATGGCGGTGACCACGATGATGATGCGTGCGAGCTGGTCGGGTCCAGGTGTTTCGAAGCACATCCACGATTTGGGTGTAGAGGTGGGGCCCTCTCGGAGGCGTCTTGGGCGGTATTGGGGGCCTTTTGGGCCGTCGTCAAATCATCATAGGCGTCTTGGGCAGATTATTCGGCGATTTCGGGCCCTTTGGACCGTCTTGGGACGCCGAACCCGCGGGCCAGAGAACACCCAAGGGACCCCTGGGGCCTCCTGGAAAATGTTGACGCTGCCCCATGCCTGCAGTCCGCGGAGCACCTGGTTGGGTCCAGGTGTTTCGAAGCACATCAACGATTGGGGTCTCGAGGTGGAGCCCTCTCGGAGGTTTCTCGGAGGCCTCGTGGGCGGTATTGGGGGCCTTTTGGGCCGTCGTGAAGTCATCATCGGCGTCTTGGGCAGATTATAGAATCGCTTCGCTCATTCCGCCGGCCCGTATTGTGCCATCGCGGGGTCTTGGGGGGTCTTGGGAGCCCTTGGAAGCTTCGTGGGAGCTTCTTGGGAACTTTGGGAGGCCTCGTGGATGGCTCTGGGTGGGCCCTCTTGGTGGTCTCTTGGGAGGGGTCTGCCTGGCCTCTTGGGGGCCTCCTGGGAGCTTCCTGGGGGTCTCTTGGGGGCCTCTTGGGGCTTTCTTGCGGCCTGTTGGGGGCCTCTTGGGGCTCTCTTGGGGGCTTCGTGGGGCTACCTGGGGGCTGATAGGGGCATTTCGGGGGCGCGTTTGGGCGGGGGGTTCAAAATTTCCGTTCAGGTTGCCCCTTGTGGACTTGAATCATGGGGCCGTCTTGGGGCCTCTTGGACCGTCTTGAGGGTTTCTTGGGCCTTCTTGGAGCGCTCTTGGCCCGTCTTTGAGCGGTCTTGAGGGTCTCTCGGGCCGTCTTGGGGTGATCTTGGGGGTTTCTTAGATCGCTTTGAAAGGTGTGAAAGACGAAGAGGCGGATATGTTAAAAATGCACGCTGTCCTAAGGGAATGAAGCGTTTTTTGCTTATGGGAGCCCTCTGGGGCACCGCCTAGGGACCTCCTGGGGCGTCTTGGAGGCCTGTTGGGCCGTCTTGAGGCCATCGCAGGCGCTTGGGGGTGATATTTCGGCGTCTCCCGGCTCTCTTGGACCGTCTGGAGGGCTTCTCGGGCCCCTCTTGGGCCGATTTGGAGCCCTCCTGGGCTCCGAAAAAGAGTTCTCGAGGGTTTCTTGGGCCTTCTTGGAGCGCTCTTGGGCCGTCTTTGAGCAGTCTAGAAGGTCTCTCGGGCCGTCTTGGGGTGATCTTGGGGGTTTCTTGGACCGCCTTGAAAGGTGTGTAATACGAAGGGGCGGATATGTTAAGAATGCACGCTTTCCTAAGGGAATGGGATGATTTTTGTTAGTGGGGGCCCTCTTGGGACGCCGCTTAGGGACCTCTTAGGGACCTCTTGGGGCGTCTTGAAGGCCTGTTGGGCCGTCTTGAGGCCATCGTAGGCGTTTGGGAGTGATATTTCGGCGTTATTCGGCGATTTCGGGCCCTTTGGACCGTCTTGGGCAGCCCAACTGGCGGGCGGCCAGAGAACACCCAAGGGACCCCTGGGGCCTCCGGGGACTGGCCAGAGAGAGCTTCACGGGCCCCTGGGGCCGCCAGATTCTATTGGGGGGGGGGGGGGGGGCGCCCATCCCCGGGGATCTCCTGATGTGAGATAGTAAAGAAGGAATATATATATATATATATATATATATATATTATATATATATATATATTTATATATACAAGACTGCAGTGGCGCTTCGCGCCATGCACCTTGGTCCTTGAAGTTTGGCTTGCAGGCGGAATGGCAGGAAGGTCAAGCTGACAATTTGGCGATTACTCTTGGTTGCCTTTTTCCGGCATCGCCGCTATAATGATGTTATTCGTTCGTTATCCTTCCTCCATGCCTATTGTTCTTTATTTTCGCCATACCCTGCGCATTCTCCGCATCCTCCTCAGCTTTTTTTTTGCAGAAGCTCCTCCTTGGAGAGCCTCTAGGGGCCTCACAAAAGTTGTTTCGGGTTTTCTTAAGGCCTTCCGGAGGCCTCCTGGGCGTATTCTGGGGGCCTCCGGGGGCTTCCTCGGGCCACCCTGCCTCCAACCGCCGTCTCCCTGAACCACCGAATCACGATTTGGAATTCTTCGGAGGGTGTCTTTGGGCCATCTTGGGCCGCCATAGGGGTTCTCTGAGGGCCATCTTGGACCCGTGTTGTGCCGTTTTGGGGCTCTCTTGGAGTGCCTGGAAGCCCTTTCGGATGGTTGTGGGGCGACTTGGGAGCCTCCCAGGCGGCTTCGGACGCCCAGAAGACAGTCGTCTTGGAGCGTCGGGAAGCCGAGAAGAGGAGAACCCCAAAATTCACCAAAAACCATCAGAAAATTAATGATTTTTGCCTCGGGGGGCCTTCTTGGGAGTGCTCTTGGAGGCCTCTTTGGGGCCGTCCTGGAGGCCTCTTGGGCCATCTTGAGGTCACGTCGGTCCCTCTTGGAGCGCTCTTGTGCTGTCTTGGGGGTCTCTGGGACGTCTCCGATGACCCCCCTGATCGCCCTAAGTGTGCTGGGAAGGCTTGGCAAAACGCCTTGCGAGGCCCGGTGGCCGCTTCGAGGCCCGTCCGGAGGGCCCCAACGCCCCAGGTCCCGGGAGTCCGGCTTGGGGGGGGGTGATGGGTTTTCCCCCCGCCCGGGCTTATAAAAATATAGGAAGAGGAGTGTGTGTGTGTATATATATATATGTATAGATATGTATATATATTTATATATATATAGAGAGAGAGAGAGAGAGAGAGAGAGAGAGACGTCCAAGAGGGCGCCTTGATGGCCCAAGAGCGCTCCAAGAGAGCCCAGGACCGCACAAGAGCGTTCCAAAATTGGTCCAACATGGCTTTGAAGACAGCCCGAGAGGGCTTCAAGATGGCCAAGATGCTTTCAAAAGGGTTCCCACGAGGCACCCAGGAGGCGAAACAAGTAGGTTTCATTAATGGGTTTTGAAGGTTGTTCGTGTTCTCGCTGTTTCGTGCTTCCCACGGTCCAAGACAGCCCATGAGGCCCCAGAAGCCAGCTCAAGACGGCCCAAGAGGCACCCAAAGAGGGCGCCACGACGGCGCAATAAAGAGCCCCAAGACGGCCCAAAGAGTGCCCCAAGGCGGCCCCAGAGGCGCCCAAGATCGCCTTTTTTGGGCCCCAAGAGTGGCCCAAGAGGGGGAACCGACAATTCGAGCCTTCCGCCCCAGCAGGCCCCCAGGAGGCCCCAAGAGGCCCCTAAGAGAGCGCAAGAGGCCCCCTAGAGGCCCCCTAGAGGCTCCACGAGGCCCCACAGGAGCCTTCGGTAGCCAGTTTGGCTCAAGTCGAGTCTGCCCGACCAGTTCCAGCAGGGACCGCGCTGATTACATCACAGCATCAAGCTGATTTTCGACACTGAGATGAGAAAGTTATTTGTTTACGGTGTTCCTGTACTCGGACCGTTGCTCGGGACAGACAAGGTGCCGAGTTTCGAAGATGTCGACAAGCTCATGATGGCGCTGGCATTGGTACAAGGGCTTTTGCTATCCTGTCTCGCTGGGACTTTTCAGTCAGTATTGACATGCTCCGACGATGCCGAAGAGCCTGACGAGCAGCAGCACCAGAAAGTTTTGGCAATAAATTCTATGGTTTGGTCTTTTGATTGCTTGTGCTTGGCCATCCTTTTCACAGTTATCACATACGCCTACATTGTGTATTTAATCGACTCACCAGACGGTGACACTGTAGACGTGAAACGGATGGAAGTGTTCTGGACAGCCGGGGGGAGATTTGTTATGGCAGGGATTGTAGTGTTCACGGTCACCGGGGCTTCATTATATTCGTGGGGGGTCAACCGGGCACTTGCGTGCATGTATGGTGACCTACACGGTGGCCAGTGGGGCATGGTTGGCTTCCTCCCAGGCAACCTTGCGATGCCGTCGGTTGCATGCTTTGGTACGATGTTGATTCACGTATCCTTTAGGAAGATGTTGATGGAACATCTGGATGACCTGCCTGGAGGGGCAGCCGGTGAAGAGGTAAGCCTTACCAGTGGCAGGACCCGCTAGTTTGCCTCCTGCTGTTCCTCCTCGAGCCAACTGTCGGGGAGCGCGTTGGCCGCGCCACCAGGTCGTCAGCGCGCGCCCCGCGGGCTCGGAGGAGCAAGGCTTTGTGGTGCACAGTACCGCGAGGGCCGATCCTAATTAGTCTCAGGCTGTTTTTCTCCAGATTTTCACGTGCGGGCTCCTTGATACGTGCTTCATGCCGATTTCACAAGCAGCGTCTCCATGCTCGCTGTTTCTTTGGCGAGGGTGACAAGAGGAGAGAAGACGACACGCAGGAGCAGGAGTAGGAGGGCTCACTTCCTGCTTTCTGTCCTCCGCTGAAGCATGGCCTGCTGGCGAGTGGCGCGTCGGCCGCTGTTCGTCCCTCCGACATGCAAGCCGCAAGTCGGAGGCAAAGACGTAGCAAATCATGTGATGTTTCGCGGAGAGTGAAAAATCGCCCGACCCGAATATGGACGAGGAGAAGGTGTTGGGGGAAAAGGAGCTGTACGGAGGTTCTGGGGAGCGCTCGGGGCTCGTAGGGTTTCGAGGAGCACTCAAAAAAAAAATCAGGGCGCGGGGACTGGCGACGGTTCCCGTTTTCACACAAAGTCGAGCCGTTCCGTCGCTAAATCGGGCGGCATTGTTTTCATGTTTCGGGGGGCATCTTCCCGATCCGTGCATCTGATTCCCATGCGCCAGATCCACGGATCCATCTTTAGCCCACGTTACCGGGTCGCTCCGGAACGCCCGCGGCATACACACAGTTTTCGGACTCGCAAATCATGTGAGTCATTGAACTAGTGACTAATCATGAGTTCCGCCATGGTCGTATCCTGTCTTCGCCTTATTGCCTGCCGAAGAACTGTACAGGGTGAATCCCCACTCTCCCCCTTCTCTTTGCCTGGGAGAGGGGATGGCGAAATGGAAATCGAGAGATTCATGGCTCTTCGCCTGGAGGATTGTCGTCGTCGACGTCTCGTCTACCTCTTCGTTGAAGTGTCGTCCCCGGTATTGTTGCCCTGCCCCTCGCGGATGTGTTTTCGCCGTCGTTTTCATCGTCGTTGTCGTCGTGTCGCTGTCGGCTTCGTCGTCGGCCCCAGCATTTCCCACCCCACCCCTACCACTCTCGTTTTTATTCGCCCGATGCGCCGCCGGCAGCTGGCGGCTATGTTGGGAGACGGAGAGATTTTCGAGCATTCCCCAAGATATTTGTTTTGCTTTTATCCACATAGCATAGCACTCAGCAGCGATTCCGCACTTGCCTCTCCTGGTCGTTTGGGCCTCCGAAGGCTTCTCGGCGGCGCGCCCAGCCCGGGGAAGGCAGAGGGGGCGGGTCTCCTCAGAAGGCTCAGAAGGCCTGCAGCCCTCTGCGGTGCTTCCTACGCCTTCTACGAAGACGCAAACGGCTTCCCAGAAGCGGCTCTGAGAAGCCCCACCGATTATGTCCACTCACATTTCCCCCCTCGGCGCGCAGCGGAGCTTCACTGAGATCCGACGTTGCGAAGAAGTAGCAACATTCGAAACATATCACGACTGGAGCCCTATAGACCCAACGTTTTGGCTGCATCTTGTCAAGCCGGATCGATCTGTCATGATACCAGAGCCCACGATTGGGCGAAAACACCCGGTGCGAGAAAAAATACGACGCCCAGATCTAAGGGCCGGCGCGCCGCCGAGTTTCCGAGGGCTCCCGAGGGCCTCCGGCGGCCTCCGAGGGCTTTGGTGGCCTTCCGAGGGCTTCCTGGCGCCTCGAGAGCTTTTTTGGGATCCCCTGGCGAACACGGGCGTGACGAGGAGGGGGGGTGAGGGGCGGGGTAGCGGGCCGGTCGTCACGGTTCGTGCCTGCGCCGTCTGAGGGAATGCGCAGGGACGGCAGAATGTCTCCTTCCCAAACGGTGGCCGGTGGCGCGAATCCTGGCGTGACCAGGGAAGGGGGGGGGGGAGGCCGGGCCGGCCGCGGGCGCCGGGGCGTCTGATGCGAAAGTGGGCTCTTCCGAGGGCTTCCGGTGGCCCTTCGGTGGCCCTCCGAGAGCCGCCCTCGGCTGGCGGCGCCCGCGCGGGGTTCACTGGCGGCGCGGGCGCCGCGCGGCGCAGGGCGCTGCGCAGGCCGCCTTCTGAGCGCCGCGAGCCGGCGCCACGGGGGCGCGCCGAAGAGCGTCGCGCCCTCCAGGAGGGGAGGGGGATCAAGCAGGGGCGAGGCGCCCCGACTCGCGTAGTAGGCCCCGCAGAGGATGTGCTGATGACGTTTTCCTTTGGTCTGCACGAAGTGTTCTCAGGACAGTTCTGATTGAGATCGGCTTGGTTTAAAGCATCGGGCCCATGTTCTAAGAACATTGCTGATGCGATTGGAACGCTATTAGTTCTAAGCATATTTCGCGGTAAACCCATAGAAATGCAGCGACTTCTTGTCCATGTTCAAACATGATTGGAGTACTCGAGGTTGTATGAACCCCTGAGATCCTGGCGCTGCAATTTTTCACACCAGGCGTTTTCGCTTGGTTTCGGACCCCAAGATCCTCACATACCGATCTGGCTCGAAAATCGACGCGCCAAGATGGGGTCTGTGGCTCCAGTGGTGATTGTTTACGGTGTCGTTTTTGAGCTCGGAACGTCCGATTTGTGAATTAGAGGTTGGAGGTTTTCTGGCGTGTTGTGCAGTTCCTAGCGGTTTCCCAGCCCCGGGACGCCTTCCAGCAGTTGCGCTTCGCCGAGAGCGTGCTGGGTGTGCCCAGATCGTCCTTAATGGCCGCCGGAAAGCCGAATACTTAGGGCTCGAGAGCGAAGGGGGGGGAGGGAGGGCTGGGGGGACGGAAACGGAGGCAGGACGGGGGGATGGGGGAGGGAGAGCACGGCAGAGGGAGTGGAGGAGTGCAGGGAGGGGCAGGGCAGGAGGGGATGGCAGGGGGGGAGGGGGGGGGGGATGGGGCATGTTTTCTCCCACATCCAAAGTGGGGTTCTTGTTTTCCCTGCACACCCCCCGCGCAGGATCTCTCCTCCCCCCTCTTTTCCTCATCATCATCACCATCATAATCATCACACACTCTCGCGCACTCACGCTCACACACTCAGTCGCCCTCTCCGCCTCACACACTCACACCTACCATCATGATCACCATCATTATCACTCGATCACTTACCCACTCACTCGCTCAATCACTCATCATCGTCATCATCATCATCATCATCATCATCATCATCATATTCATCTTCATCTTCATCTTCATCTTCATTATCATCATCAACATCATCATCATCATCATCATCATCATCATCATCATCATCATCATCATTAGCATCATCATCATCATCATCATCATCATCATCATCATCATCATCATCATCATCATCATCATCATCCTCATCATCATCATCATCATCATCATCATCATCATCATCATCATCATCATCATCATCATCATCATCATCATCATCTACTCTTCTGCCTCGTCACCACTCACCCCCTAGCTTGAATATGGAGGAATTATCAAGTGTGAGCTTCTGTGGGGAGTGAATTGTGAGGAAGCCTCAGGCGGGAGCCCCTTCCCTATGGGTCCCGCACTTCGTGTTGGTAATCCGAGCGGGTCATCCTCAATCCTATATGTGTCGTCACTTTTTGGCTCCTGAGGCCTGAATGCAGAGGAAGTATCAAGCGGGAGCATCGTCTGTGAGTGAATTGTGAGGAATTCTCAGGCGGGAGCCCCCTCCATATGGGTCCCGCATTTCATGTTGGAAATCCGAGCGGGCCATCCTCAACCCTAAAACTGTCGTCAGTTTTGGGCTCCTGAGGCTTGAATATGTAAGAAGTGTCGGGGGGCAGCCTCGTTTGTGAAAGAATTGTGAGGAGGTCTCCAGCGGGAGCCCTTCCGATGTGTCCCGCACTTCATGTTGGTAATCCGAGCGGGTCATCCTCAACTTTGTAACTGTCGTTGCGTTGGGTTCCGGAGACATGAATTTGGAGGAAATCGCAGGCGGGAGCCTCGTTTGTGAGTAAGTTGCGAGGAAGTCTCAGCCCCTTCCCTACGGGGCACGCGCTTCGCGTTGGTAATCCGAGCGCGGCCATGCGAAATCTGTAACCGTCGTCAGTTTTGGTCTCCTCGGGCTTGAAGATGCAGGAAGTTTCGAGCCGGGGCCTCGTGTGTGGGTGACTCGCGAGGAAGTCTCGAGCGAGGAAGTCTCGAGGAAATGGCGACGGCGGCGGCGAGGCCGAGGTGCGGGCGAGGAGCTTGCTGATGTTCAGGCCCAGCGAGCAGGAACTCACGTGGCAGAGCTCGGGGACGCACGTCATGCGCCGATCGGGGTTCACACTGACGCACGCGCCCTACCTGACCTCCACGCTGTTGCAGGGCCAGACGCTGCGCAAGGGCGTCACCATTGACTGCGCCAGGGATGAGGACGTTGGACGCACGGGCATGTCACCCGAGCAGCGGTGGCTGCACCTCTACGGTGCGCGGGCCGCCGGCGCCCCCGCGGACGGCGCTCCGGAAGTTCGACGAGACAGCGAAGGCCTCAGGGAATGAGGCCGGGCAGCTCGCCGCGGAGCTTGGTTTCGCGTTGCCTCCCGCCCGAGCGCCGCGGCGCGCAGCTAGAGGCTCGCGGGGCTGTCCCAACGGTCTGGCCCGCGGGTTTGTCCCGACGGCCAGCCCCCGGGACCCTCTGGGGGCGCATCTTGGAGGCCTCTTGGGAGCGTCTTGGGCAATGTGGGAGCCATCTCGGCTGTCTTTGATCGCTCTGGGACCGTCTGGGACCATGTGGGACTGTCTCGGATGCCAGTGGGAGCGTTGTGGGAGCGCTCTTGGGGCCGTCTTCGGGGCTCTTGGGCCGTCTTCGGCGCCTCTTGAGCCGTCTTGGGGCCCTCTTGGGCTGTCTTGGGGCCCTCTTGGAGGCTTCTTGGACCGTCTTGGGGCGGTCTGGGAAACCTCTGGGGCCGTCTGGGAACGTCGGAAAACCGAAAAGGCGAATTTGTGAAAAATGCACGTTACAAAGGGAACGGACCATTTTTTGCGTCTAGAGGCCCTCTTGGAACAGATCTTGGATGCTTGTTGGGGCCTCTTGTTGGCATCTTGAATCGCTGGAGGCCATCGTCGATGACATTGATCGCTCGTGGACCGTCTGGGACCATGTGGAACTGTCTTGGAAGCCAGTTGGAGCGCTGTTGGAGCGCTCTGGGGGCCGTCTTCGGGGCTCTCTTGGGCCGTCTTGGACGCCTCATGGGCTGTCTTGGCGCCCTCTTGAGCTATTTTGGGGCCCCCTTGGAGTCTTCTTGGGTTGTTTTGGGGCGGTATTCGGGGCCTCGTGGGCCTTCTGGGAGCATCGGAAAGCCCAGCAGGCGAATGTCTGAAAATTGTGTGTTTTACGAAGGGAACGGGCCAATTGTTGCGTCTAGGGATCCTTTTGGGACGCATCTTGGAGGCCTCTTGGGGCTTCTGGGGGACCTCGTGGACCGTTTTGGAAGCCCCTGAGGTTGTCTTTGGGCCATGTAGGGCGTGTTGGAGCGCTCGTTTGGCGTCTCGGGACCCTCGTGGGCCGTTTTGGAAGCCTTTTGGGGATTCGCAGGCCCGTCTTTAGGCCCCCTTGGGCCCGGAAAAATGTCGTGGTGCGCTCGTCCCCGTCGTGATACGCTCGTCCCCGGCGAGGGGGGGGGGTCAAATCTCCGGTTTGGGGTCCGTGGGGGGGGTATGGGGGGGGGGAACTATGTCACACGCCTAGAGACCCACTAGGGGTCGGCGGATTCAAGGGTTCACTTAGTTACTCATCTCTACCACGTTTTTTCCCTTGACCGGGGACCTGCGAACCGCCCGAATGCCGCTCGCGGACTCATATGCATCCATGTCGCGCCGTGGCCCTCTCATCAAATCTCCCAAGCTATTCCTGCCCTGCATTGCGCAAGGGTTGGGTACGTCGCCAAGGGAATTTTCACTGCGCAGTCTTCCTCCACGCGACAGTTTGCGTACGAGGACGATTTCGTCTCTCTGCATCCCTCCTCCACGCGGCAATCCGTGTACGAGAGGGATTTGCCATTCTGCGGCCCTCCTCCACACGACAAGTCGCGCACGAGAGGCGCAGTCCTCCTCCACGCGACAATTTGCGTACGAGGAGAGTTTTGTCTCTCTGCATCCTCCTCCACGCGGCAATCCGTGTACGAGAAGGATTTGTCGTTATGCAGCCCCGTTCATGCGGGAATTCGTGTATGAGAGGGGCTTCGTCATTCGGCAGTCTTCCTCGACACGGCAATCCCTGAAAAATAAATGATTTTGTCATTCTGCAACCTTCTTGGGCTCCTCGTCAAGCCCTCTTGGGGCGCTCTGTGGGGCCATTTGGGGTCCCTCTCGGAGGCCTGAGGGCCCTCTTGGAACCATCTTGACGGCCATCGATCAGACAGGGGGGGGGGCCCCAATCGGGGTCTGACAAATCACTTCTTGGGCCGTTTTTAGGCCACCCTTGAGGCGGCCTCTTCTGCTCTCGGAGCTGTATTTCGCTCCTGCTGGGTCCCTTTGGGAGCCGACTTGGGCCCATCTTGGGGTCGCCTTCTGGCCTTCAGAAACGATCAGAATCGACACTGGGAGGAGGCAAACATCATAATGTTTCGAACGCTTCGGACGGAGTTTGATTTCTTGGAGGTTCCCCTGGGGTGCTGGGATGGCGCTGCGGGCCGTCTGGGGGCGGTATTGAAGGCTTTGGGGGGGCGTGTTGGAGAAATCTTGAAACCAGGTTGGCACACTTTGAACTATCTTTGAGGCCCATCTTTGGGCTCCTGGGGGCCGTCTTGGAACCTTCTGGGGCCATCCTTGACGCTCGACCGGCCCGCCGAACGCCCTCGTCCAGGGGGAGGGTTCGTAGGCGGTAGGGGAAGGTCCCGCCCCGAAAGGGACGGGGGGGTTCGCAGAACGAGCTCCCTTGACGTCTCACGCCCGCGAGGGCCGTTGGGACTCTTTCTCGTCATCCCTCGTCCGGTTGACTCGGCGGGTCCCACCTCGGCCTCATTCTCCGTCGTCTCGGGCGTCTTCCCCATTGCTTATGGTGTTGGTGATGCCGCGGCTGAAGTTGCTCGGGGCCTTCGGTTCCCTGGTTGTCTAAAGCAGACTGCCACTCACATGAGCATCATGCCACCCTGCTGTCCAGCAGCACAATCCAGCATTCAGACGTTGCCCGGGTCTGAGCGTGCATATTTATACAAGCGCAAGCGTGCATATTTATACACATACGCAAGTACTCACTACCACAGTCTAGCTGAAGCTTATAGCACGCTGAAGCTAAGCCGAACACGCATGGAACAAACTGTCGCATAGGACCGCGTTACTTGTCTTCACTTTGCAGTGCGGTGCAGTGCATTGCATGGTTTCGCTTCAGTTGCTCATTATGTTGCGTAGGTTTGTATTGCGCTGAATCTCGTTGGGTTGCATTGCGTTCCTTGGTCGTCACAGCACTTGCTGTGCATAGCATTGCATTGCTTTGCTTATCTTAGCACTGGTTCGCACTACACTCCTCTACTTTGCATTTTTGTTGCCATTCATTGGCTTATATACTTCGCATTACATTTGCGTGACAGTGCACTCCACTGCACTGCGTTGCAAGGGGCGGAGGTCCTCGACGACGGAAGTGGGAGGAGGGGGGGGGAGCAACCTCGAGGAACCCAGGAGGGGGGTATCCCCGAGCAACATGGCGTTTGCGTGACCGTTGCCGCCAGCCGTCTGGGCACAGAAGGAGTGGGAAGCCATCCCATCAGTCAGGGAAGCGCATTGGTGGTCCTTCCCGCACTAGCGCGCACAACAGCGACACAACAACAGAGCAGAATGTCTGCAGCCCACTACAGCAAGCAGCACTAGCATTATTAGCAATCAGCAACAGCGGGAACGGCATTCCTAACACTGACGCCGACACACACAAACAGTTACACCAATACGCAGCATCATCGATGAGGAGATCAACAACACCATCAACGGTCAAACTATCACATCCAGACGATTGAACCAGTTCGGGGGACAGCGTCGCAACGATACTTCAGTGGTATTCAACACAGCACTACCATAAGCAACACGCAACAACAACATCGAACATATCATCAATCGCACCAAGCACATCAGCAGCATCAGCAGCAACACAACACCGAAACATTGCAACAGTTGGGCAATGGGTCACGGCTCTCCTCATGTTTACCACAAGTTGAGGATGATCCTCCATTTTCCATTTCTTGCACATCTTCAAGCTCACGCCATGGACGCAACATACGATATACGATTTCTTGGCGGGTGCGGATTTTCAGCAGCCTCCGTGCATGATCCTACAGTGCCACTTGTAATATATGGGCCTTCGGATATCCGTAAGGGCTTCGCCCCCTGCCGCCGGCCCCCTCTCTCGGAGAATGGGCCATGGAAGAGCTAAGTCATGAGGCTTTGCGCTGTCGTGCAGCAGTATCGGAACTTCATGCGAGGCCGATTCGCAATCGGCAAAACCAACTGATCACAAGAGGGGTTACCACACAGGGCGATTGGTAAGACGTGTATGGTTTACGAGCTTGGTTACCACACCTTGGGATTAAAGGGCCGAGGGAGTACTCGCAGTTTGGGTTACCACGCCTTGCGATGGATGTGCGTGAGGGGTGGCACCGAATTTCAGAAATGTGGCAAATCCCATGTGTTTTTGGACCCTGACCCCGCGGATCTGCGTGAGGGGTGGCACCGAATTTCAGAAATGTGGCAAATCCCTGTGTTTTTGGACCCTGACCCCGCGGATCTGCGTGAGGGGTGGCACCGAATTTCAGAAATGTGGCAAATCCCATGTGTTTTTGGACCCTGACCCCGCGGATCTGCGTGAGGGGTGGCACCGAATTTCAGAAATGTGGCAAATCCCATGTGTTTTTGGACCCTGACCCCGCGGATCTGCGTGAGGGGTGGCACCGAATTTCAGAAATGTGGCAAATCCCATGTGTTTTTGGACCCTGACCCCGCGGATCTGCGTGAGGGGTGGCACCGAATTTCAGAAATGTGGCAAATCCCCTGTGTTTTTGGACCCTGACCCCGCGGATCTGCGTGAGGGGTGGCACCGAATTTCAGAAATGTGGCAAATCCCATGTGTTTTTGGACCCTGACCCCGCGGATCTGCGTGAGGGGTGGCACCGAATTTCAGAAATGTGGCAAATCCCGTATGTTTTTGGACCCTGACCCCGCGGATCTGCGTGAGGGGTGGCACTGAATTTCAGAAATGTGGCAAATCCCCTGTGTTTTTGGACCCTGACCCCGCGGAGCTGCGTGAGGGGTGTCGATTTCGAGCCCCCCCAGCAAAGACGAAGCGCGCCCAGGGGGTGCTAAAAATCCCGTTTGGGCCTCCCCCCCCCTCGCGCGGTCAATCAATTAGTTACAGTAACCAGCAAGAAGCAGAACTGTAACACTGGAAACTACAAGCTACAACTGGTACTGGAAACTACGAACCCGTGCCTCGCAGCCTGGTGGCCCCACAAGGGGGCCGGCGGATTCTCAGGTAGCTGGCTACCGTCTATTTCGATGATTTTCTCTTTGCAAGTTGGGATGCAGGGGAAACCGCCGGCACAGGGCGTTGCGTGTCCTGCGGGGGTTGTTGGCATGCTGATGTTGCGGCAGTACGCGAAGAACGCCTTTGAGGCAGCTCTTTCATTTTTTATAGTCATTCTTGAAGGCTTGGGCATCGCGGTCGCTTGGTCACAAGCCTCATCTTCGTCGTCATCCTCCGCCTGATCTCTCTATGAGGGAGTTTACACCCCTCGAGCCCCGAAGTCGGGAAATTGGCAAAGACGACGTGCCCGTTGGCGAGAACGGTGTGCGTACCTCCCTGGGGGAGGCGCGGGTCAAAACACCACTCGAGCAGGCCGAAAGATTTCTTTCTTGAGCCCTGGGTACTGAATGCGAGACCTCGTTCGCTTTGGGGTCACGGACTTCTTCCTCCTTCTCGTTGTCGTCCTCTATTTCGTCGTCATCTTGTTTCTTCTTTGTTGTCCTGTTCCCTCTTCGTCATCTTTCTTTTTCGCACCTCACACGTCCTCTTTGCGCGTGGTATGGTCCCAAATTCACCCCCAACAGCCGTATAACCATAGTAGAATTATGGCTTGTTTAATCGTTCACCCCAGGGAAAGAATTGCATCCACGAAGCTTCTACACCGAAAACTTGGATCCAGACGCAGGAGGAATTTGATCCACACGGTTCTCGCATACACGGAACGAGATCCAATCGGACCCGCGCGTTTCCACGTTAGAGGAACATGTTCGGCTAGGGGGTGTAGGTGCACGTGTGTCGTGAGCGGTGTTTTTGGTCGAGCTCCGTTATCTTCGAGATGCCGAAGCCGGCGTTTTGGGAAGAAAGCGCAGATTTTGAGTCCCAGAGCGGCCAGATATTCTCGTGCTCCCCATTTTCACGTACTCGAGCGCTGCCGACGTCGAACAAGTATCCGCTTGCACACGTGTTGACGTGTTCGCCCTTTCTTACATCTCTCCGCTCTACACATCCCTGGTTGGCTCGTTATCTCTACCCCTACACTTCCCTGCCTCTCTCTTTCCCGTCCCTCCCACCTTATCTGTTTTACTTTCTCTCTCTCTCTCTCTCTCTCTTGGTTTCTTATATACAAATAAGAGTGAAGGGGCCGAACGGTCATTCACTGTCCCTGGGCGCGTGGCTGATATGAGGTTATGTGGTGTGGATTATTGCTGTTGTTGTTGATGGTGTTGTTGTTGTTGATGTTGTTGTTTTTGTTGTTGAGTTCTCATGTCGAAATAAAGTTTATGGATTATTCCCCCTCTCCGGTAGTCATTGCTTTTTCCATTAAGTGTTTCTCCCGGGGCTCGCACTCGTTTTTTTACAAGGGAAAGTGGGTCACCAACTACTACTACAACAACGGCTACCGCCCGATACTTCTTGAACATGTATTCCCAAATCGCGCTCTCGCGCGGGATTTTTTCACGTACAGCAATCGCGCTCTTGCGTGGGACTTCCTCGCAATTTATTGAGACGCCGCGCCCTCGACACTCAGGAATGAATCACGCTCTCGCTGTCGATCTCCTGCAGGTATATTTGGGAATCGCGCTATCGCTCGAGACTTCCTCGCGATTCATGCAGGGCACGCGCTTCAGCAACCTGCCTGCTCGACCTGGCCGCCTGTGCCACCCTTCCCGACCATCCCGTTAGGGTCCACCCGACCCGTCTTCCTGACCCGCCCGACTTGCCAGTCTGGTTCTGCCACGTGTTTTCTGCTCCTAGCCCCCCTCCTGCTACCCTCTCTCGTGATCCATCCTCCTCCCTCCCCCTTGTCCCTTCCTTCCATCCGTCCTCTCTTCCCCTGCCTTAGAGGCTGCACGAAATACACCTTGCAGGTAAGAAAGATATGCACCCCCAAGGGGGTACGATAGAAGTCGAAGAGACCAGGTATCGAGGGTTTGGGATATACGTAGTACCCCGCAGATGCGGATAAGAGTGAGGAGGCGGTGGGGACGTCGGCAGTTTGCGAGGTTTTGGAGAAGCTCGCCGCAGGCGCCAAAGTTTCACAACTTATACAACGAGCCCGCCGCAGGCATTGTTTTTTCGTTAAACCAATGCGGGTAGGTCGCGTGTGCGTCGTGGGTGGGTCGCAAATGGGTCGCGGGTGGGTCGTTGTTAGGTCGCGGATGGGTCGCGAGTGGCTCGCGGGTGGGCCGCGGGATGGTTCGCGGATGGGGCGCAGGGTGGGTCGCGGGGTGGGTCGCGGGGTGGGTCGCGGGTGTGTCGCGGGTGGGCCGCGGGGTGGGTTGCGGGTGGGTTGCGGGTTGGGTCGCGGGTGGGTCGCGGGGTGGGTCGCGGGGTGGGGTGGGTCGCGGGGTGGGTCGCGGGGTGGGTCGCGGGTGGGACGACGAAAAAAAGAAACAAACACTCACAACGCAACATGCAGAATCTTCACCACAGATTCTTCAGCCACGCACCCAGGGGCACTGAATTACCGTTCGGCCCCCTCACTCTGATGTGTTGAATGTCCCGCGAGCAGATCAACAGTGTTAGAGTGATTGTTGTTGAACTCTCAGCACTGAAGAATAATACTTTATTGTTGATACCCCTTCCAGTGCACATTGCATTTTCCAATTGAAGTGCCCTTCCCGGGGCTCGCGTCTAGTTTTTTCAGGGAAAGTTTTGGGTCTCAGAGTCAGGCCCCTTGGCCCCCGAGTTACAACAACAACAACAACAACAACAACAACAACAACAACAATCATGTTAAGACTGTTCGCTCCTATCTGCCCACGTGCCAACCAATACGTATATCCCAAACCTTCGGTACCCGCCCTCGTGTTCTTCTATCGGCACCCCCTTGGGGGTATATCTTCCTTACCTGCCACGCACATGTTGTGCAGCCCTTAAAACAAGGGAAGAGAGGACGGGTGGACGGGGGAGAGGGAATAATGTAGCACGAGGGAACTTAGCAGGAGGGGGGCAAGGAACAGAAAACAGGTATAACCAGACGGGCATATCCGGTGGGCAGACCCATAGCGGGCAGGTCGGGAAGGCGGGCCCAGGCGAAGAGGCCGAGCAGGCGGGTTGCTGAAGCATGGGTCCTGCATGAATCGCGAGGAAGTATTGAGCGATAGCGCGATTCCCAAGGAAACCGTGAGACAAGCGCCGAAGGCGCATCGTCTGAATAAATTGCGAGAAACTCCCACGCAAGAGCGCGATGCGTACATGAATTCTGAGGAAGTCCCGCGCGAGAGCGCGATGAGGGAATCAAGTGTGAGGAAGTATCACGCGGGAACCGTTGTTGTTGTTGTTGTTGTTGTTGTTGTTGTTGTTGTTGTTGTTGTTGTAATTCGGGGGCCAGGAGCCCAGTTTGAGCCCCGAGATTTTCCCTTATAAACAACAAGGTGCGAGCCCCGGGGGAAGCACTTCAATTGAAAAGCACAATGGTCACCGGAGGGGGGGATCAACCACAATTCTTCTTCATTAGTGAGAGGTCAGCAACAAGGGCAACAACAACAACTGTTCCCGCTTGATACTTCCTCGCGATGTATTCCGAAATCGCGCTGTCGCGCTGGAAGACCTCACACTTGATCCAGAAATCGTGCTCTCGCGTGGGATTTCCTCGCAATTTATGCAGACACCGCGTTCAACACTCAGGAATCACGCTCTCGCTTTGGCGCATCTTACGATTTACTTGGGAATCGCGCTATCGTTCGGGACTCGCGGTTCATGCAGGACGCACGCTTCAGAAACCCGCCTGCTCGACCTGGCCGCCTGGGCCCGCCTTCCCGATCCGCCTGTTAGGGTCTGCCCACCCGATCTGCCCGTCTGGTTCTGCCACGTATTTTCTGCTCCTAGCCCCCCCTCCTGCTAATTTATGTTTCGTTTTCTATCCTCCTCCCTCTCCCTTGTCCCTTTCTTCCATCCGTACTTTCTTCCGCTGCCGTAGGGGCTGCATGAAATATACGTTGCAGATAAGAAAGATATACCCCAAGGCGTTACGATCGAAGGCGAAGAAGGCGGGTATCGAGAGTTTGGGATATATATATATATATATATGTGTTGAACTGCACGTGCGCATCTCAGAGCGATCAGTTTTAAAATGATTGTTGTTGTTAATGTTGTTGTTGGTATGTGTGTTGTTGCTGGTGTTGTTGTTAATGTTGTTGGTCGTGCTGTTGGTCGTTTTGTTGTTGTTGGTGTTGGTGCTGTTGCTGTTGATTCCCCCCGCTCTGGTGACCATTGTGGTTTTTCAATTGAAGGGCTTCCCCCAGGGCTCGCACCCTGCTTTTTTATGAAGGAAAATCACGGGGCTCAAACTGGGCTCCTGGCCCCCGAATTACAACAGCAACAACAACAACGGCTCCCGCCTGACACTTCCTCACAATTGATTCCCACATCGCGCACTCGCGCGGGACTTCCTCACAATTCATGTACGCATCGCGCTCTCCTGAGACTTCCTCGCAATTCAGGTACTCAGACGATGCGCCTTCGGCGCTCAGGAATCACGCTCACGGTTTACTGGGGATCGCGCTATCGCTCGAGACTTCCTCGCGATTCATGCAGGACCCACGCTTCAGCAACCCGCCTGCTCGACCTCGTCGCCTGGGCCCGCTTTCCCGACCTGCCCGCTATGGGTCTGCACTCCCGATCTGCCCGTCTGGTTCTACCTGTTTCCTGCTCTTTGCCCCCCTCCTGCTAATTTTTCTCGTGTTCCATTATTCTCCCTCCCCCTTCCACCCGTTGTGATAGGGGCTGCACTAGATGCACGTGGCAGGAAAGGAAGATATACCCCCAAAGGGATACGATCGAAGACGACGAGGGCGGGTACCGAGGGTTTGGGATATACGTATTCAGTGGCACGTGAGCAGATGGGAACGAACAGTCTTAAAATTATTGAATGCTAATTACAGAACAATTATTATTGTTGGCCCCCCCAAGCGCCTTGGCGCTCTCGCCTCGGCGCCGGCTACATTTTCATTGAAAATGAGGTTCACGCTCGAGCGGTTTGGGGGGGCGCCAAAACCGGCCCCCCAACAACAACAACGCTCCCGCTCGAGACTTCCTACTTTTTTGCTCAGGGCCGGTGCTCCTGCTAGCCGCTGAAAGCCGCCGTCCCTACAAAACCAGCGCTACCGCTCGAAATTTTCTCCAGTTTTACCTTGGACTGGCGCGC